TCTAAACTGCTGCCCCCTCCCCAAACTGCCACCCCACCTCTAAACCGCCACCCCCTCCCCAAACTGCCACCCCATGTCTAACACAGGTACTATAAGATACTGTCGTCTATTTAAAAAAAAGTCACTACAAACACACAGGACCCCTATTCCTGCACACTCCTACACGCGTGTCTGCACACACACCTACACACACACCTGCACACGCATCTGCACACACGCCTACACACACACCTGCACACGCATCTGCACACACAAGCTCCCAATCACACACCCAGGAACAGATCAACTAATTAGCCTTTATAACGGTTTGTGATTAATTTAATACCGTCTCCTCGGCTGTTTGACTGACCTTTCCAGCTCCGCTGCTCTTAGCTGAAGCAGTAAGACTGCAGTGAAATGCTGACAAAGCCAGAGACCAGCTTTAGAAGGAGAGGACTGCCAGGCCAGCAGAGACGTGGATGAAATCTGAGAGGGAGCTCAGCTCCACAGGGCCAAAAGAAAGCACTCCACTGATCCATGGGACAAAACATCAGGCCGCAAATTTGTCTCTCAAGTATGACACGCACACAAGGACTAACTTTCTCAGTCACACCAAAAGAAACAGTCAAGGTAAGTCAACCAAGAATATTCAACAGGCCAGTCTGCACAAACATCACCTTCTTTAAGGCTAAGCAAGGCCAGGTTCTGCCTCGCTCCCTCGCAGGGCCCGCATCTCACCGTACGCGCCGAGCAGTGGCAAAGACACTGGCGGAGATGCTGACGTCAGAAGAACCTGCTTGTTCATGCAGAGAGAATGGAGACTGCATGCTCTGTAAGACAAAGTCAGCTGAACACTGCTGCACTGCACAGGTGGAGGAGAGACAGCAGTCAGACCGGAAAGCCTCTGACTCCCAACACTCGTCAAAATGACTCCGGACCCTCTCGAAAAAGTCACGGGGTCACTCAGTCCTGCCTCTGGACAACACCCCACAGATCACTTTGTCCCTGAGACCAACCACCAAGCAGGAGACAGCTTTGAAATGTCCTGGCTGTGATACATGCCCAAAAACATCACCCCCACTATCACCACACTCAAGCTACACATGACTTTTTTTCACCTTATACTAACTTTCTTCCTCACATTCTGCTTGTGATGAAAATAGCACAGTATTTGAGTGTCACTCTCATTCTGCGCCCAGCTGCGAGCAGGTCTGCAGTCGGCCCAGATACTTGCCAGAGAAACTCATTAATGGTCCTTCTCCTGACTCGATAAAAATAGTTGTCCTATTAAACTCATTTTTTTAAATTGTACTCACTGATAACTGTAACACCTTTTGAGCAAATATCCCATTAAAACCAAGGCTTAAAGATTTTCATTTGCTTCAAGGCAATATAGCAAAAGTGTAAATTAACAAATAAACAAACAAACAGTGTTTGTGTTCTACTTTGAAGGAATTAACACTGAAATCTCTTGATGCACACATACTTTTTAATACCCCACCCTCCAGAACACATACTTTCAAAATAAAAATGATAATGATGATAGGTACATTACAACCGATGAAGTTCTTCGGTTAAAACAAAAAAGATTCTTTTGTGAGTTTCACTGTATACCCCTCAAAGACGCGGTGTAACGAGAGAGTCAAACCATGCAAGGAACCGTGTTTGCAGTGATCTGTGCAAGCAGTTGATAAACAAACAAACGAATGAACGGATAGACAGATGATTAAATGAATGAATAGACAGATGGATAAATAACACGGACTTAACACGTGGCCAACCAAAACACACACGAACCCATAGAGGATGTCTGCTTGCATAGTTGCTTTCGGGACCGAGTTCAGTTTGCCTAGCCAGCTTCAGATACGCGCTGAAAAGTTGTTCCTTGCTAGATCTGAGTTATTTCCCCATCAACATGGAGAATCTGGATTCGACCGTGCGGCGCGCGCGTGTCTCAAGAGCCGATGCTTTATTCTCATCCGGTCTCTCGGCTGGCGATTTACCTGTAGATGCAGTTTCCATGGTAACAAGGGGGTACTGCTTCTTCTCTGATTGATGGAGAAGTCGCTTCTGATCGGTGTTACCCTCCCAGCTTTTATCCAGATGTCTATCTCCCGAATCGCCGAGCCCAGCCACGGTAGTCCCAAAGCGAGCGCTCTTCTCCAACTCCTCACGAAAGCGCTTTCCTTCCGGACTTGGCTCTTCGCTGGGAACGGACATGCTAGACTAGAGTTATTTTCTGGGAAGCGTAATGTGACGGGCGAGGCGATACCGACTCGAGAAATTCACCACGAAGCTACTGTTACGAAATGTCCAAGCAAAGAGCACGTACTCCGGCAGACCATTACGCGTGTGAAACGGCTAGTCCGGCTCTCTGTTTTAGTCCTGACGTCACCGCATCCGTGTCTCATGCTAGGCACGGATTTGGGATGGAAAGTAACGTTCTGTTAACCATTTACTGCGATGGCACACCGGAGGCCGCCTAATGCCGCTCTAAACAACAACATCAGCAATAATAATGAAAACAACATCAACAACAATCATTATTATTAATATTACTACTACTATTATTACTACTACTACTGCTGCCACTATTATCTGTTTTTATTGTTGTTGTTCATGATGATGATACTGTATAGTCTACTTATTGTGTAAATTTCAGTGGGCAATATGTTAAATACATTGCAGTGTATATTGCAATAGTAATGTGCGATATTTAACACATTATAGCCAAATAAACTACATTACGGAATTGAATGATAGAGATACTGTAGGTATAACATATCTAATGAGAAATATATCTAAACGGCTTCTTGTATTTATGTTTATAATGAGAGCTGTTTCGCGATTTTTTCTTTTACATGGAATCAAATACTTGGATGAAGTGAAGGAAACAAACTTTTAAGTCATTCGACACTATGACTAATTATTAATAAAGAACAGCAAATGTAACAGGCGACAGCACTGTGTCATATTTATGTTGTGATTAATTACAAGGAAAAGATAACTGGTGTTTCAGATTAAACCGAAAGGTAGATTACGTTACTGCTGATTAAATCATTAATAATATATACCATATGTTAAACCGATGAAAATTTGTAGCGGCACTGACTATGTTCAACGCGATTTATATGTTGCGTTATGTCTAAGTTAATAATTAGGAAAACCATTCTTTTTGGCTAGTATTCTTTTGGTGAGTGATGATATTTGCCATAACTGACTGTTTGTGAGACAGCTGTACGGCGCCCTCTATTGGTGTTAAACAACACAAATGGTGAGAAAGCGCAATTGCTCAAGTGTTACGGTAAAATGCCCAGAATAATGGGTACCTTCTGGAAGGCGCTGTTACAGCCCGCCGTGTGCCCTGTCGTGGCGGTCTTTTTCAGATCATCCATTCTCCGTCTTCTAACCGCGTATCTTGTTCAGGGTCGCCAGGGACTCAAATCACTTTAGATTGCAATTTAATTTGCCTTACTTGACACCCACAGGTAATAACAGAATAGCACAGTGGAGGCCAAGATCAAGGCTACTTTTGAGTGCCGCCGTACATCAACAATTGCTGCTCAGAATTATTTGAGATTTTTAAAATGATTTATGGGTGTATTTCAAAGGTCTGATTATACTAATGATTTCTGCATATTTTAGATGTTAAAATTGTTCGTCGGGATTAGTTTTTTTTCTTGTGCAGGTCTGTTACTGTATTTAAACGAAACACCGAACAGTATCTTTCATTTGTATGCGGTTATTTTGAAAGGAGACTGATTACATTTTTACGCTTTGCGTATATTTCTGCACGGGCACGACTGGGATGTAGGCTAATTAAAAATGACTTCTATGTTCCCAGGAAAACTAGAAAAGCTGTTCGTGTACACTGGAGTGGTTATTGTGCTCTTGTATATTGTAAGGGCCTTACAATCGTGCTTTTTACCGTTCACTTTACGGGTTTATTTTGCTTTACGGCATTACTCGTAGAGTGAAGCTCTTTTAAATAAACCCTGGTAAATATGGGGGAGATCAGAGGGACACTTAAGTCAAGTAATCGCAAGGATTTAGTTTCCCTTATAGCCTCGTAAGCTTCTAGCTTCCTAGAGCAGTGATTCGTGTGCATGTTCTGCAGGACGGACCGCGAGAAAGCATAGCGGCGCGCGCAACATCCCGCGTGCACGTCTGCCGTCTGCTAAGCGCAGTCAGGTCCCAGGCCCTTCAGACAAAAGATGATGGTGCCATGATCAGAAATAACGGTATTGCAGGGACACCTTCGGGGCTACGTGTGCATCTTCTGGATGCAGCTCCGTGTCACAATGTGTTTTTTTCCGAATCTGCTCCTGATTATACAGCAGTAATTAGTGTTAATTGTTTTAATGAACCGCGACTATAGACGTAATAAGGCTTTCAGACAAAACAACAAAAACGACAACAAAAAAGCATGCAGTATAAGAGCAGGGGACACCTTATTGGCACTATTTTGTTTCTATGCACACCTGTTTAAAAATAGCAGTACAAGTATGGCTTTTAATGTGGATTTCTGCAATGTGCTTTAAAAAAGTTCTCTTTAATGTCCTATAGGGGGCAGCAGCCTTCCATGTTTCTTCTTCTTGCTCTGTGACGAACAGTTCTTTTCCAAAGGGCACGCCTGCCCTATGTTTTTATCACCTGGGACCATGACAGATAGGAAAACAAAACATTCCTCCTGGATTAAACACAAGACTGCAGTCGTGCGCAAGTCATTGCAATGGTGACAGAAACATAATTTATAATAATATTATATAATAATTTATACACAAATACACTGATACGGCCTCAGCCATAATTAAAACCAGAACAATCACGCTTCTGTATGCCACTGGACAATAATAATACATAATATAATCATTTTTAAATAATTTATGCTTTTTAGGGTTATTTGTTGACTCCAAAGCTTCATAAAGATGGATTTGGTTCAGCAGCTTCTGTGATCTGACCCGGCCTCCTCGTGGCACTCGCCTGCTTCTTTACTTGCTTCGAGAAGCTGGGACCTTTTATTGTGGCTCTCTGAGCTGCTAGCAGGTCACTGATGATCGCGCTGTTTAGGTTCTGATAGCACTGAGTGGCTCACTGAGAGCATTCATAGAGTCCTTATGTCAGGACCTGAATAAACTTGCTTTAAGAGCAAGAATGAGCATCACCTGGTGATCAGGTGCCTGTGAGTAAGGCAGGGACACCATGACGATGTGGTGCCTGTGAGACACCATGAGGATGTGGTGCCTGTGAGACACCATGACGATGTGCTGCCTGTGAGACACCATGAGGATGTGGTGCCTGTGAGACACCATGACGATGTGGTGCCTGTGAGACACCATGACGATGTGGTGCCTGTGAGACACCATG